TTAAATCTCCCGAAGGCAGATTTACGCTACAGGAATATTTTTAAATCATTCGAAGCCGGGGAAAATTGCTTATATCAACCGCATTTCTCTCACTGTATCTGTTCTTTAAGACATCCTTTGACTGCTTTGATATTTCTTCGCAGATTACTCAACTGTTCCTTTTGCATGGCTAGTCTTTGAAGACCCTAGAAAGAGTTTGAACCAAAAAGCGCTATAGAAGTCTATGATCGGAGAACGATTACGTCAGAAAATGTGCGTGTTTCCTTTCAGCAATGCCATTATTATTACCGTCTAGCAAAAAAACTGAAATTTGAAAGTTGACGACAACTAAACCAGAAAGTCAGACTACAATCTTGTTATTATGGGTGATGCTTCTGGGTTACTAATCGTCTGCCGCTATGCGACCGTTTTTGTGGACTCCAACCCAAAGATCGAAGACCAGACAGCTATCCGTATTTTATACTGCAATTGGGATTGCTCAGTGAGCGTTTTCCTATGTATCCACAAATTATGTTATACCGTAAATTTATAGCATTATGCATTCCAATATAATGTTGGATAAACAAGAGATCTTTCGTAAACTGATAACTTTACGGGTGAATTTTTATTGTGTTAGAGGGAACTCGCCGTCGTAGAAAAGGGACAACGAAACGTAATTCGCGTATGAACGGGTAGAAGAATGGATGCCGCTATTCGCTAAGATTAGTACCCATAATGTGAATTCGAGAGTATGAAGGAAAGGTGGGCTATATTGGAGGTTTACCAAGGGTGGAATGGTGGATAGCAAATATTTAGGAGGGGTAGATGACCTGTTTTTGATCTGAACCAGTGGTTTCGGCGCCATGACTAGTTATATTGCGAAAAGAGTTCCGAATACCGAAAAACTTGCGACTGTTTGATGCTGCCGCGCGATGAGTTTAGTAGCATCCCAGTCAAAGCGACGGCTGCCCTCAGGTGGGCGCAAGAGACAGGAGGTGGTGATTCGTGTGGGTAGTCAGCCATTTTATGTTAATCGATGCAAGTCTCGTGGTGCGATCTATTTGACCGACCTACATTATTTGCCGCAGCTCTTGAGACGTGCCGAAATTCATGTGAAGCCGTGAATAACTGAGAAACTCTTCCCCATGCAGAATCAAAGCGCTAGCAGCAACCACAGTTAAAACAAGAAGGAAAAGTACTTTGAAAGTACAATTAGATTGTCCAGGAATAGTAACTTTTGGCGAGAAACCAAACATTTTGAAATAATGCATGCTGCAGGCGACGAGCTAAACTACCCACCAACCATTACTAGATGCATGGGGATTTTAAAAAAAGCAGAAATAAATAGTGGAGGCTGTAAAAATATAACTCAAACATTTTTAATCGTTTTGAAATTTCATAAATGTTTTGGCAGATTTTGAATGATTCATATTGACCCAACTGAGATAAACTCAGCGCCTCGGTTGGATTCGAACCCACGCAGTAAGGCGAAGGCTTTAGTACAGCAAACACTCTAACCACTTGAGATTTAACGAGAAGTACGATAGGCGTTCGAAATGAAATGTTGATCGAGCGAAGAAGCAGACAAGTCGAAGTAAACTGTAATAAAACTGTGTTGATAAGGCGGCGCCAAGCTAAAATATGGTTATTAAGGAGTAAAAGTCGCCAGTGGGTACACATTTAGTATAAAGGTTTTTGTCAATGCGTTATTATGCAAAATTTATTGTTCCTGTTCAACAGCCGTAGAGGCTGTTGAGTCTGGAGACTTTCTTAAAGCTGCAGTGAGCATTATTGTCTCTGCTGTCTAAAGTACGCTCCTAGGAGAAGCGGTTTTCATATTTTATGGTTCTTATAAGTATCATACTAAAACAGTTTTCGGACGATTTTACAAATGTGGTATTTTCCGAGAAATGGTCCTTCCATAAACAAGGCCTTCAGTGAATGAGATCTTGTATAAAAAGTTCTGTCACGTGTTTTCTACTTAGGAGTACTTTGCTACGATATTTACGATGTGAAACTGGATGATTTTATCCTATTTTAAGGAAGAGTTAAACGAAAATTGGAACGTTTCCTGTGTATTTGGTCTAGTGACAGATGAAATTATTTTTCATGCACCATCTAAAGCAGGCCGTCCCGTCTATTTACTGATCGTCTCCTCATTTCTTAACTTGGAGTCCTGTTATACTGTTGGTGTTAACATTTGCAATCATAATTATCAGGAGTTCAAAGCCAAGAATCCTCTCCGTCCTCAACACTTTTAAATCGTACGTGTTACCTCCTTATATTACCCTCTGAAAGAGTACGTTTACACACACACACTCACACACGACAGTTCAACCGTCGATTCCCACTATGTCCACCATCTGCTACACAACAAGGTGCAGCAGGCACGGTGACTTGCGCGTGAATTAGTTTATAGTGATAGTAGACTTGCGCAGCATCTACCCACACTTTCTCTCTCCCATTCCCCACATGGACCCGGTGTCAAGACAGAGTCAAGAACACCGGAGGCGGGAAAGGACGCAGGTACGTGGCACAGTCGAGCTCGCGCCTTGGCGTTCCACTCCTCACCCCCTGACCCAAGGAGTAAATGACCCGGTTTTTGACCAACACCAAAAGGGTGACTGGCACGGCCGAAGCCATACATAGGCGTGCCGTCATACCACGGAGTGGAAGTGCCATAAAGGCCACATTATGAAGGAGCTATTGCAGCCCGACTCTCGGACCACCGGTCGGCCCTTCCACACAAACACACAACACTGGGCCGACTGCAAGGTCCAAGTTATTCCGTCAGTTGGCAACGTTCCGAGCCAGGGCTTTTAGCGCACCGTGATTGCTTCAAGCGCGTCAGATTGTTGAAAGGGAGGAAGATGCTCTGAATCGTCGGCCTCACTCTACCTTCCCATTCCCAGGTCTCGGCCACTGTTCGAGCCCGTCGGTTGACAGGTGTGGGAACTGGGCGCGGTGGCTGACATATCTAGTGACCTTGTCTGCGCGCGCCACATATACGGTCTGGCCCCCTTAACGCGAGCAGCGGGATTTCACACAACAGGGGTTGGGCGGCGTACATCTCACATGCTTGAGAGTGCCGTAGCTCACGTTAAGAAGCATCCGTTAAGCCTGGCTCTCAGCCCACCAGTCCGTCACTCCACACACACACTCACACATATAGGCAGACTGTGTGGACCGAGTTGGGTCGTCGGTCAGCATCCTTCCAAGCCGCGGCGCTTGAAGCGCTGTGATAGTCTCAGACTCGATTCACTCATGCAGCAGAGGAGCAGGATGGAGACGGAACCGAGGCACACACTTTCCACTTGCGTGGGAGGTGGCGATTGGGTGCCTGTGGTGGATGGTGCTTTGTGATGTAGGTGTTGGTGGGGGAAGATGTAATGGAAGATGTAATGTACGGAACAGTGTGGACAGGAAAAATCGACGGTATCAATGTCGGTTTCGGAGTAGGCGGCATTGGTGGTGCTGCCGGTGGTGGACGCGCCGGGCGACGGGAGTGGGTTTAGCCAGGCAAGGTGGATGTGCAGGATGTGCTAGATATTTTTCGAAACTGCGGTGAATTCCGCTCTCGTGGATACGCATGTGACCGAATGGACCCATACGGTGAGTGAATGTACGGGACAGTGTGGACAAAGGAGGCGAATGCGGCGAGTGTAGGCTGGTGCTTCAAGTACTAATCCGCCAGTATCTGTGCGATGGATTCGCAAGCGACCGACCAGGCCGATGTGCGAGGTGGAGGTGCGGTCGCAGTGAGGACAGGTATGTGTAGAGTCCATGTTGTTGGGGTTCTTGGTGGGGGAGTTGATGTTTGTTGGTGTGCTAGGGTTGTGCGCAGTGGTGGTGGATACAGGACCGAATAAGCCTGACGTAAATTATAATGTTCTCACGGACTATCGAATGATATCTCAGGAGCCCTAAGTATTAAAAGCAGTAAGCAATAGCAGTTAGTGAATAGTATTGAGATTTCGAAAGTAAAATGACCTGACAGCAGAATACGACAGCGGAGCCCCTCAGGGAAACGGGGCTTGTCCAGCCGAATGTTTTTGTCACGTTAAAATGAGCAATTCTGTAAAAGAAAACGAGACTAGATTGTTAAATATGAATTAGCCTGGTACGTCGCCATGGTACTGCTTTCCGAGACCGGAAGGCGGCGTTAAACGTCGCCGGAGGATATGCATAATTTTAGAAGAAATTCGTAACTAAACGATCGGGGAAATGAACATGACGGCCACTGCGAGTGATATAGGCGGGAGGTGCAGTTGAGTGCGGCTACAATGGTGAAGGATGAGGTTGTAGTTGGATACTGCGGGTAGGTAGGGAGAGGAAGTAATCGGGACGGTGGGATAGAGGGCGAGGGAGGGGAGAGAGAAGAGAGTAGGGAAGGTGAGGAAGCAGGGAGTAGTGGAGGTGGAGGGACAGAGGTTAGGGTGTCAGCACATTGTGAAGAAGATACAGGTATCTGCTATTGTCTCTGATGATGGATTCGAACAGGAATCCGAGATGTCAGGCGAATAAAGCTCTTGTTCCAGCGATCTTGTCTCCTTCTTCACGACTGCTTCCTGGGACTCGCCTCTTCTCTTCTATTGGTCAGCACATTCTTGTCTTCGAGGTATCTCCGGCGGCTCCTCTGCGACAGCAGCCTTGACCCGATCGACACTGACCACTTCCTCCTTGTCACCACGAAGTATCCGGCAGGTCTTGGTGTTGCGTGCAAGCACACGGATCAGTCCTTCGTATGGTGACGCCGGCGACAGGAGCACACGGTCACACCGGACGAACACATGAGTGCAGTTGTCCAAGTCTTTTTCTACATAAGACTCGGTCGTTGAAGTTCAAGATGGAACCGAGGAAAGCGTACGCACAAGTTGCCGCAAACTGTGCACAAAATCTTCAGGCGTCTCGTCGGCACCACGAGAGGTTGGGGTGACCATCTCGCTTGGAAGTGCAGTACAGTCCAAATCTGACTTTATGGTTGCGCGAATGCCGAGGAGTGCACTCGAGAGGTTATCTGACTAGTTCCCCGGGTCTTCTGCGGTAAACAGGGCGGTCTTTAGGTGACGATGGAAACGCCCAACCATACCGTTGGCAGCTAAGTGGTGGGTTGTCGTCAGAATGCGTGTGCAGCCGAGAAAATTGGGGAACGTTTGGAAGAGTGCAGACTCAAACTGGCGACCACGATCAGTCGTTACCGTGGAGGGGACACCGAGCATGGCTACGCAACGACTGGCGAAGGCCTTCACGATGGTTTCAGCCTGCATATTCGGCAAAGAAATGGCTTCAGCCCAGCGGGTGTACCGATCATTACAGGTAAGAAGGTGGGTATAGCCATTGGATGGAGGCGAGGAGTCTACGACATCCAGCTGCACATGGCTGAACCGCGCGTCGGGGCTGGGGAATGCGCCTAGTGGGGACTTGTGACTTTGCACGTTGTTGCGCTGGCAATTCAGGCACGACCGCGCCCAAACTTTGACGTCTTTGTTCATGCCAGGCCAGACGAACATTTCCGTGAAGAGCTTTTGTGAGACTCGGATCCCAGGGTGGGAGAGTCCATGGAGAGTTTGAAAAAAGCTCGACGCATCGAGACGGGCACAATAGAACGATGAGCAAGAGTCGAGACCTCAGACAAGATCGTACCGGTACCAGTGGTCAAATGGACGTTTAGGATTTGAAGACCACTAACGGACTCGTCATCCGGACAACCAACACGCCGTTGCTCATTCGCCATAGAACAAAGGTCAATTCAATGAGGGAGATGAAACGCCGATATGGAAGACCTGGACAGCATGTCAGAAACCTCATTCTTCGTGCCATCAATGTGGCGGGTTTCACTGGTGAATTGGAAATGTAGTCCAAGTGAGCCATCTTTCTCGGGTGGTATTTGTCTAAATGTTCTGGTATAACACATGTAAGTGGCTTACAGTCAGCGAAAATTGAGAAGTCACGACCTTCAAGGTAATGTCGAAAGTGTTTCACAGCCAGGTAAACGGCAAGAAGCTCACGACCAAAGGCACTATATCTCGTCTCAGCAGGCGACAGTTTGCTAGAGAAAAAAACCAACGGTCGTGAGGGGTCGGTTAGGTGTTGTTGAACGACTGCTTCTACGGCAATGATCGAAGGGACAGCGGGGCTTCTGGAGTAGGATGCGTGAGCAAGGTAGCGCCAACAAAGGAGGTCTTGATTCTTTCGAAAGCAGTCAGTGCGTCACCAGTAAGCTCGAGGGGATCATCTGGATCAGAGAGCATGTTGATGAGTAATTGCATAAGGTAAGCACAGTTTGGTAGGAACCGGCGGTAAAAGTTGACCATGCCGAGAAAACGTTGCAGCGGACGCTTAGAGGTTGGTAGGGGAAAATCACGAATGGCTTCGGCCTTGAAGTGAAGGGGACTCAAACCTTCTGATTCAACAAGATGGACAAGAAATTCAAGGGAAGGCACACCAAAAACACACCTTGAGGGATTAATAACGACGCCATACTTGTCGAGGCGATCCAATACCGAGGCAAGATACTCTTTGTGTTCTCTCGCATTTTAGTTGACCACCAAAGGTCATCGATATAGGCGTACACAAACTGTAGTCCACATAAGACATGTTCAATGAACCTCTGGAACGTTTGGGCGGCATTACGAAGACCGAAGGACATGTGAATAAATTCAAAGAGGCCAAAAGGTGTAATGACGGCAGTTTCGGGGATATCCTCAGGAGCGACAGAAATCTGATGAAAGGCACTCACCAGGTCAATCTCCGAGAAAACCGCTTTGCAGAAAAGGGCTCCAGCAAAATCCTAAAGATGAAGCACAGGGCACCGATTGTGAATGGTGACGTTGTTGACGGCACGATGGTCACCAGGGGTCTCCAGTCGCCTGATGTCGCCTTGGGCAACATGTGCAGGGGAGACGCCCAGGGTCTCTCGGACGGTCGAATGATTCCCAGTTGCAGCATGTATTCAAACTCCACCATCGCGACCTGAAAACGGGCCGGTGCTAGTCGTCTAGGCGAGCGAACACAGGAGGACGTTAGGTACGGATATGGTGCACGACGTCTTGTTGAACCTCACCAATGAGGGTAGATTATGTTGGGGTATTTAACGAGCAGTACCTGAAAGGGGCTAACAATAGCTGTATCCAAGACAGAGCCAGAGAAAACGTTTGCGTATATTCTCTAACTGACTGGTTTCCCTGTTTCAACTTAAAAGAGCAGGGCGAAGAACAGCGACGGGCCTTGGCACCGAAGTTTGTATATGCCAACAAATATCGGCAGTCCGAATTAGCGAGCGAGAACGTCGACGGCTGGGTGAGCGACTGGAAGTAAGGCGGACAAGCTATAGTTTAAGGGGGCCATTCCATCCCCATGACCGACATCTGCTTCGTTAAATGCTCATTCACCGTCGATGAGGATGTGGAGATCTTGGCAGCGGAAGGCCGCTGGAACCGCTGCGCCTCTATCATTCGATCCACCATTTCAGCGGGCTGTGAGACCGTGAGATCTTGAGAACCGGACGCCAAAATCGTTTTAACATCTGCAGGTAGACGTTCTAGAAATATCTTGATAAGTTTCTCGTCGATCTGCATGTCTCCAATGCGAGAACGCGTTCAACGTATAAGTTATGGAGGTAGAATGCTATTACCGACAAAGACAAGGGAGACTGGAATGGCCATTTCTGACTTATTAGCCGTCGTCAGCCAGCCATACCCAAGCCCGAAGTGTGGAACACCCGAGCCGCTGTGCGGCTGCTGGTTGGTCTCGAGAGAGAGCCCTTAAGGCACAACGGAACGAGTGAGTTCCGTATGAACGATCGGTGAGCGCCCCTACCATAGTTATGAAGGTTTCCAGTCACGCAGTGATTTCTCCTTAAACAACTGGTGATACTGGTGTCGGTCAGACACAGCCTTATGTCGAAGGAGTTCTGCCTTCAACGTGGAATAGTGAGCATTTGCAGGAGGATCGGATAGCAAGGATTGAACTTGGGAGATAACACTAGCGGGGAAACATCCATAAGTTTGTGGTATTTCTCCAGCTCGTTGGTACCATTAGCAGAATAAAAGGCTGATTCGATGCGGGTGAAAGAAATTTCTGGAACGAGTTGCCAGAATTCGGACAAGGTATAATTGACGGCATGAAGGGACTGCGCAGGGGCATCAAATTATTGGTTGGAGTAAGAAATAATGGATAAGATAGCGATGACACAATATCGAGAAAACTCGTGAGGAAAGTTGGCGTAAGTGGAATAAAAATTTACGAATAAATAGTACGTTAACTGTTATTCAATATGACAGAGAAAGGTATGGGCGTCACCAACAACGTAAATGATAAAGTTCTCACGAGCTCTAAGTATCGAGAGCAGTAAGCAAAACCGGATAGTAAATATTACCGATATTCAGAACATAAAATGACCTGACAACAGAGCCCGATAGCAGGAATTGTCCAGCTAAGTTGTTTTTATCACGGTAAAACCAGCAATTCGGTAAAAGAAGACGGGACTGGATTGTCAAAGGTGAATTAATCTGGTACCTCGCCACAGGCCCCTTGCGGTAAGTAAATGTGCGGGGAATATGTGGTCAGAGGTGGCGAATGCGGCGAGTGTAGGCTGGTGCTCCAGGCACTGGTTCACCAGTCTCTCTTCGATGGATTCCCGAGTAACCGACCAGGCCGATGTGTGAGATGAAAGTGCGGTCTTAATGAGGACAGGTATGGATCAAACCCGCATCGCTGGCGCCGACGGTGCGGAGGTTGATGTTTGTTGGTATGTCAGGATGGTGTATAGTGGTTGTGGGTGCAGGAGCCGTCACAGCGTATGTTAAGATGGAGGATGGGGAGTAGGAGGAGGAGGACCGAAATTCCGAAGTGCGTTTTCGTTTCGAAAAGATTAATTAGGGTTGTAAAACTAGTCACCCTGCAACATAATTCTATAAAATTTCAGTTACCTCAGGATGCCAGCTTTTGAATGGACTTCCTTCCGGCTGCATGAGAAAACTACACTGTATGAAATGACTACTTAAACAGCATGAATTTTTCTCATTGATTTTTAATGTCCCTAAAAATCCAATTATATTTCATGGAAAAAATGCATAAAAAGATACATTCTTTTGCTCATTCAGTAGAAAATTGCGTCTCCTTCCAATTTTATACTCCAAGGAAGGGTATAATTCGGTTCTCAAAAACGATTCCAATTCCCGAATAATCTTAATACGCACTACCATTACAATTGGCTTCAGGGTTTCCAAACTGCAAGCCGTATATTTTCCGCGTACGGAAAACCACACCTGTCTCTACGGTACTAAAGGGGGACTATATAGGGTTCATAAAAGTAAGCAGTGGATTTGATCCACATTGTTTACATCACAAGCCACAATGGTAAACGCAGAGACATGACGATTTATGAACGGCCATTTCACGGTATCTTAAAGTCCCACAATTAGAAACTTTTTTAAAGTCGAATTATGTCCCTCCTTCGAGCATAAAATTAGAAGAAGATGTAATTATCTACCGAATGAGCAAAAGAATGAATATTTTATGTTAGTTTTCCGTGAAATATAATTTGGTCTTTAAGGGCATCCAAAATCTATGAGAAAAATATATGCTACTTAAGTAGTGATTTTTGCAGTTGGAAAGAAGTTCGTTCGAAAGCCGGCATCCTGAGGTAACTGGAATATTATAGAATTATGTTGCAGGCTGACGAGTTTTACGACCCTACTTAATTAATCTTTTCGATACGAAAACGCATTTCGGAATTTCGGTTGACATTGCATGAGTGAGCCCTCCTATGTATATGGATGGGCCATTACTTCATCCCATTTAGAAAACGTCGTCAGTTCTGAAAGAAAAGGTCGTAAGTCTACTTTTGAAGCGTTCTTGGTCGAGCAACGTAACTGCGAATTACCAAACTTGCCATCGTTTGTCAGCCATATTGCAAAGTATACTTGGAGTACTTGAGAGTAGGAAGCAAGCAACTTGTTTCAAGGCAGATCGAAGTCCATCCATTAGGTCGTGTCGGAGACTTACATGCTTAAGGGCAAGTACTGACCGTAGTCTGCACAGGGTGGTGCAACGTGAGCTTGAACTTGTGATCCACGATGATCTTATTTCAATACAAATTTCCCATTAACCATAAAATAAGACTTAGCTGTTTTTTCTCACCACAGACTGGCCGTGATTGGTCTCCTATTTCCCTCCTCCGACCTTTGCGCAATGTACAAGGAATGGCCCGTACACATGAAGGTTGTCCTGATTGTCATGGAGGAATTTTGGTCCCAGGTATGCCGCGGACTCAACAGTCTTATTATGTTTCCTTTGAGCAAGAGCACGTTTTTTCGTATGCTTCATAAAATATTATCGAAAATTTAAAAAGCCAGACTTTACTCTGTTTCAACAACACCCTTTTAGTTCGACTTTACGCATAAATGCCTTATGTGCTTGAAGAACGTGGGATTTCAGTTGGATCAGTGGTAGGCGTTACGATTTGCCGAGTGCAATGCATACCGATTTGGCCCGGTTTCGACCTTGGACTTCCTGGCTGTCGTGAGGCAGATGGCGATCATTAACGAGAAAGTATTAACGACAAAGGTAGGGGAGGCTATTCTGACCCTTTCTGACCACAAAACTCGGTTATGAAGTTGATCCTTATACTGACAGAAAGTGTGGGCCTGACAAGTGACTCAATTCACACCCACCGCAGGAGGTACATTTCCTCATTAATATCTCAGAGCTATTGAATGGGCATCAATACTGCCTCACAGCACCGCAAAACTGCTGCCAGCTTGTGCTGGACCACGCATTTGAACCTGCTGGCCGACTGTGGCGCAGGGCCTCGCTGTTGGCAAACTGAGGGAGGGCAAAACGGCGTTTGATACTTTCCTTAATGAGCCACTCTAAATAGTGCTCGCATACTCATTCAGAACCGAATACCCGAACAGGTCGTAGCAACCAAATTAGCATCTGATTGTATGCGTCACGTCCCAGCATACGTATTGACTGAGGGTACGACTGTTTGAAAAAGTGCATTGTTTAGTCTGGAAAGGCTGTTGCCTCGGTCCTCTCGGCAGCTTCGGTCTGCTCTACTTACAGGTCCAGTCTATCTGACAGAATAGATGCATGTGCTATACTTTAACAGAAGGAGACAAATCGGTTTGAAAACATAAATTTATGCGTCGTCCATTCATTTGAATTCTTACAAGGCGAGAATGACCGTGTAGGTGTCATCAATGGAGAATACGTAACAGCAGCCCCTTTCAGGAATAGTACAAGATTCAGAACATGATGTGATTTCTAACAACTTTCTCGCCCTCCTAATATCACGATCTCCGCCTACCGTAGATGACCGACAGAATGCACGGGGATGATAAACGCTAGTGCAGGGCTTGCATTGTAACCTGTGTCTAAAATAGGTTTTGTGAAAGAATTCGGTGTACGTGTTTGCATCGGTCTCTTCTACGTGTGCCCAATCAACAGCGTCGCATTAGGCATTGCAACCACAACTTCAAATTTATCCGCAGTTTAAATTGCAATTTTAAGTAACTGAATTGGCAGCATAGCATTAGTCAGTTTGCCCGATGTTGTTGTTTTATGACAGTTCGACCGTCGTCACCGACGATGTCCACCGCGTGCTCCACAGCAAGGTGAAGCAGGCACGGTAACTTGCACGTGACTTAGCATCTGGTGAGAGTAGACTTGCGCAGAGGTTACGAAAATCAAGCAAGCAGCCACACCAGCTGAGGTTTCTTAATTTTAGGACAGTTGGAAGTCCCTGTTTCATCAAACTCTGCAATGCGTTCAGGCAAACAATCAAGCGTTTTGCCGCATCTACCAGGCAATCTGGTTATTTAATTATGATCCTTTCCTAAAATCAATTTTCTCGCTTCTTTACATACTATAGGTTCACAGAGATGCAGATCTTGACTAGGCCAAATAAGGAAGTCATTATCAATGCAACCTAATAATATTCGGCGTCTTGTCCATTGGAAAGTAATTTTCACAAAGCTACTTATGTAGAAAGTGATACCACATAGTTGACTGATTATTGAGTGCAAGTACGGGTTGGATTGCTCCGAGTCTGCGGTCTGTTAGGCGCTGCTAGTAAGCTTACCGTATTATAGATGCGATGATAACAGTTCGACTGTCGAAACCGACGATGTGTACCGCATGCTCCACAGCAGGGTGAAGCAGGCATGGTGACTTGCGCGGGAAGTAGTTTATAGTGGGAGTGGACTTTCGCAGCATATGCTGCACTCTTCCCTCCTCCCCACCTGAGTTCGGTGTCAGGAAATAGTCAAGGAGATTGAGGGCGGGAGAGGTGGCTGGCACGACAGAACCCGCACCTAGGCGTAGCACCACAGCCCTGATTCACACCGAACAATTGACCGGGACTTTAATTAACAGCCAAATAAACGGTTTAGAAAGAGGAGGATGACTGGGCAACCATGCACACGACCGGTATACGCATCAAGAACTCAAACGCATCTACCGGCAGTAAACTAGGTGCCAGAGGACTGCCAGCATCCACCGAACTGCAAGGGTCGTGTTTTGCAGACCATGGCATAACAGGTGAGATCCAGCCCTGCAGTTAGTCTGGGCC